AATCATTAGCTCTCAGAGAGATGCAAATCAAAACAACAATGAGATACCATCTTGCTCCAGCACTAGTAGCAAAGTTCAGTAAGACAGAAAATAACAAATGCTGGCCAGGATGAGGAGAGATTGGGACTCTCATACACTGCTGATGGGACTGTAAAATGGTACAACCATTGTGGAAAGCAGTATGGCGATTCCTTAAAAAGTTGGAACTAGAAATGCCATTTGACCCAGCTATTCCATTACTCGGTATATATCCTAAAGAAGTAAGAGCCATGACAAGAACAGACATATGCACACCCATGTACATCGCAGCACTATTTACAATAGCCAAAAGATGGAAACAACCTAGGTGTCCATCAGCTGAGGAATGGATATCCAAACTATGGTATATACACACAATGGAATACTATGCAACCCTAAAGAATAATGTAGAATCTGCAGAACACCTTATAATGTGGATGAACTTACAGGACATTATGCTGAGTGAAATAAGTCAATCACAAAAGGACAAATATTGTATTAGTCCATTATTGTAAAAGTCAAGGAAACATTTATCTGTAGAAGGACATTTTCTTTGTTGGTTACCAGGGGTGGGAAGGGAGGGTAGGGAATACTGTTAGATAGATAGAGATAAGTTTTTATTTGGGTGAAGAGAAGGGCAATGTACCAAATGTGAGTGATCAATATAGTGGCATTGAGGAAGAGAAAGACATAGAGAAGTACATGGGGAATATAGACAACAAAGATGAACCCTTTTGCACATATAGTACAGTGTGGTCAGTGAAGGCAAACATGGGTATATGGGTAGATAGATGGGTGGACAGGCTGAATAGGTATGTCTGTGAAGTGGGGAGTGTACCCAAGCACATGTACAGGCTTGGCAGACAATGGTCCAATAACTATGTGTATGATCTGAATTCCCAGGTGTATAGTGGAGCTGACAAGGAGCATGGTTGTAGTCACTGCTTGATCACAGCCAGCTACCCAGAGGGACCGAGTAGTTGAACCTGTGGGCTCAGGACTATAGTCACAGAGGACATTAAGCTCAACTGGCATAACATACTACACAAAACATTGTTCTACCTCCTACTGTGACAAGTAGCAACTAGGATCTTAAAAGCTTGCAAGCTGCCATCTAGATGCAACGATGGGTCTCTCCTCATCTAGAGCCAAGAATAATAAAGAAAACCAAAAATTCATGGACACAATTAGTCCTGGTGACTGGTACACCATCCAGTCTGCAGCCTGTACAATTATGAGACCAGAAGAACTAGATGGTGCTCAGCTACTACTGTCAACCACTTAGAAGAGGATCTATGTAGGAGATCCTGGGTAGATAGGGAGAACAATGTGGAACAAAACTCAAAATCATTTGGGAAAAAAAAAAGAGGGGGGGGGGACCAGGTTTGCTGGCCCGATAGAGCCTGGTGGAACCACTGAGACTATGGCCCCTAGCTGCCCTTCAGGTCTGGAATTGAACGCACGCCTGTGGCTTCCAGCCAAATAATAGACAGGCATACGAGTTGAACATTTACCTGAGGTAGATACACTCCTTGGAGAGAACAATCATGGGAGAAAGGACTGCTTATGCACAGGAAGACAGCTCAGGGTGCAGGAGTGCATGGAGGGATGGATATAGGGAAGAGTAACTATCGAGGAAGTAGGAGGGGAGATTTTGCATTGTGGTAAATTGTAGTCAATGCCATGAGACAAAGTGTATATGAACTGCTGTATGGAAAGTGTATTTGCTCTGTAAATTTTCACCCAAATCACAATAAAAAGAAAAGAAAAAAAAATAGAGCAAACATACAAAATTACCTGGATGAGTTATGAAAACATGCTATGTGAAAAAAATTCACATTCATTCTGTATTTCCATTTGGATGAAAATCCATTTAGCAGTCAGTCAACCAGTTGGCCTTGATACATGGTGCCCCCTTTGTGTCACAGAGAAGAGCTGATCCATAGGGTTTTCTTGACTGTGATCAGTAGAAGCAGTTTTCCAGACTTTTCTTCCACAGAGCCAGGGTGGGTTTGGACCACCAACCTTTAGGTTACCAGCCAGTCATAAACCACTTGCACTACTCAGGCTGTTTGTGAATTCTAGAAAAAAGAAATCTAATCCATAGTGACAACAAATCAGCTTAGGGCCGAGGCATGACAAACACAACCTGCAAAGGGGTACATGGAAATTTTGGGGGAGTGATAAGAATGTTTTTCATCTTGATGTGATGATGCTTACATTGGTACATACAACTGTAGTTGTCAAAACTCATCAAACTTACCCTTAAAATAGTGCATTTTGTTAAGAGTTAAGACAATACATGTTAATTGCCAAATGACTAGTATAAAATGAATTCTGTAGTTTTTTTTAAGGTAGGGTTTATGGAAGAGGTAGAATTATAATGCCCCTCCATAAGAGAGACAGGGTATATGGATC